TATCCTAACAGCATATCCTACATGTAGCAATAATACCCAAGACAGTGGGTCTATTGGCCCAGTTCACTAAGCCTCACCCATGTGAATCAAAGTAATAAATACTACACATATATGTCTGTTTAATATCTACGGGTTAAGAGTACACAGTAATTAACCGAGGCCTAGTTCGTTTACGACGATCAGTATAAAACGAACTGCTCCTCTCTGGGATCTGTTCAATACATAAATGTACTAGTGCAACTAATCAGTCAAGACAAACTGTACATTTGACACTACAACCGTTCGCGATGGGGTGTTCATATCCATCTGGGTTGTGAACCACTTATTCTTGTTTCACGAGTAACTGATAGCATGGTCTTCGGTTCGCCCGATGACGACCCACACTATCTAATGCAAAACAACAGAACGTAGAACTTGTTTAATCTAACACATTTCTCATTCATAAAGGATAAAAGTGTAATATCATCCAAAGCCAAGTTTTTAGTATATAACACTAACAAGGTTGAACCTTGACAATGACTATGATGGCGATGAGCTGCCCTTTCAAGTGGTTTTCAAGAAGAAAAAACCTGCCAACCAAGCAAACTCTTCGAGCCAACTGGGACCGAAAATTGCATCGATGAAGATGAAGGACATCGTCCTAATGAGAAAAGAGCCAACAAAATCAAGTACCTTGAAGAAGGGGGCTTCTCCCTCCTCCAATTAATGATTATCGCCTCGTGGAACGTTAAGGGTCTTAATGCACCCTTAAAACAGGCTGAGGTCGTCAAACTCATCCAACGGAATAACATTGATGTTTTGGGACTTGTGGAGACAAAAACGGATTGTCGTCGTCTCTCTCGATTTGTTCATAACCGGCTTCGGGAATGGAACTTTTGCAATAATTTTGGAATAGTGGGCCATGGTCGTCTTGCTATCATTTGGAATCCAGCTAAAGTGGATATTGTAATTGGGGACATCCTTCATCAATCCATCTATGTCTCTCTCACATGCAAGGTTAGCAACAAACATTTCTTTGTTAGCTTTGTATACGGTTTACATAGCAGGGGTGCTCGAAAACAGCTTTAGAGAGACTTGGAGAGCTCTAAGGCCCTCAATAGCAACTTTTGGCTCCTGTTGGGGGACTTTAACACGGTTTTCAGGCCTGAAGATAAGATCAATGGCGAGCCGGTCACAAATAGGGACTTTATGGACTTTGCGGCATTATATGATAAATTCGAGGTATTGGATATTCCTTCCTCTGGATTTTTCCATACTTGGACCAATAACACAATCTGGTCCAAGATTGACCGAGCCATGGTGGACGATCGATGGCTACAAGATGGTTCCTTAGTCATGCAAATTAGCGTCAGGTATTTCAGAACACTCCTCATGCATCGTTACATTGTTTGAGAACAAACAGGAGACGAGGATCACTCTGGCGTTTTTTCAACATGTGGGCCAATAACGATAATTTTAAGCCGAGGGTACAAAATGTGTCGCAACAGTATGTCCGAGGCACCGCTCAGTTCAAACTCTCCACAAGTCTGAAGGCTTTGAAATTCGAGCTTACAAATCTGAATGCTGAGCACTTCTCTCATGTATCAGCCCGAGCAAAAAATGCAAAGCAGGCCCCTTAACATGCCCAACTACGACTCCATGACCGACACAATAACTTGGGGATAAAAGCATCGCTACCAACCCTTCGAGCTGAGGCCCTCAAGCTTGCCAAGGTTGAAAAACACCTTTTTAAGCAAAAAGCAAAGTGCAATTTTCAAATCAATGAGGACAAGTGCACATGCTTCTATCACGCCATTGTCAAACGAAATGCAAAGAAAAACTCTGTTTCCTCAATCATAAAGGAGAATGGAAGTCGAGCCAACTCCCTTTAAGAGATCTCGAATGAGTTTGTTAGTCAATTTGAGAAGTTGCTAGGGACCGAGGTCGAGACCGAGAATATCGACCCATTTGATATCCGAGATGGCCCACTTATCACGCAAGAGCAACAAAATTCACGTCGTACCCCAAACTTAGAATTCGAAATAAAGGAAGCATTGAATGATATTGAGACTAATAAGGCACCGGGACCTGATGGATACACATCCATGTTCTTCCAGAAAAGCTGGGACATTGTAGGGGCGGACCTTGTCTCAACTGTGCAAGAGTTTTTCAGAAATGGGCGTCTTATTAGGCAATGGAATCATACTTCTCTAGCAATGGTTCGCAAATCCATTCACGCGTCTCAGGTATTTGACTATAGATCGATTGCTTGCTGCAACACGATATATAAAATCTGCTCGAAGATCATAGCTCAGCGCTTGAGCACCGTTCTTGACTCTATCATAGATGGGGCACATACATCGTTTGTGAAGGGGCGGAATATGTTAGACAATATCCATCTAATGCAACAACTCCTTAGGCAATATTTGGACAAGAGGATATCTCCGCGATGCATCATCAAAATCAATCTCAAGAAGGCCTTCGACTCTATATCTTGGGCCTTTCTGAGACAAGTTCTTTGTAGACTTGATTTTCCATATATTTTCATCGAGTGGATCATGGACTGCGTCTCCACTACATCATATTCCATTTCGATTAATGGGTCACCGAGTGGACATATGAGAGGAGCCAAAGGCCTTCGATAAGGTGATCCACTTTCCCCCTTTCTTTTTGTGATTTGCCTCGAGTATCTTTCCAGACTCATTAACAGGAGCACGACACATGAACAGAATTCAATGATCATCCAAAATACGAGCAGCTCAGAATTACTCATTTAGCATTCGCGGATGACTTGATGCTACTCTCACGGGGGGATCCAAGATCCATCCAAATCCTAATGGATTGCATTAGAGACTTCGGGTCCAAATCGGGACTCAAGATGAACGTGCAAAAATCAAACATTTACATGACATGGGTGGGACAATTGGACCATGATGTGATCATCCAGGACACGAACCTATGCCCTGGCACTATGCCTTTTCGCTATCTTGGAATTCCCCTTACAGCAGCAAAGGTGATAGTGGGTCAATTTGATGAGCTTGTCGATCAAGTTTCAAAATATATAAATGGGTGGAGCGCGTCCACTCTTTCATACGCGGGGCGTTTGGAGCTTATACGATCAGTCCTCCAAGGGGCGGAATGCTTTTGGATGACAATATTCCCGCCTCCCTCGGCCGTTCACACAAAAATCATACAACATTGTCGTAAGTTTCTTTGAGGCTCGAGAAGTGCAGCTGTAGCCTGGGACCGTCTTTAGCTTGTCGTGCACCGAAGGTGGCCTAGACCTTCGCGACCTTAAGACTTGGAACAATGCCTTACTAGTCCGAACCCTTTGGAACCTACACGCAAAGAAGGATACTTTTTGGTTTCGTAGTGTTCACTACGTCTACCTTCAGCAGAAATCAATATGGGACTGGAGCATACACAAGCACGACCCACCGCTCTTCAAAGAGCTTTTCAGACTTCAAAACTCGATGATCCAAAAGTTGGGCAGCACTTAGGCCGCGACAGACAAATTGAACAATTGGGACACAAACTTTCAAATCAAGGGGCCTGCACGTGTTTACGAGTTCTTTAGGCCGCGAGACACACTCGTGCCTTGGTGTGGAGTAGTATGAGGGCCTTGCAATACCCCAAAGCACGCATTCATATTATGGCTCGCTACACTTGGAAGGCTTCGAACCGAAGATCGGCTCAGCTTTTTAGAAGTATACCCGACATGTGCCTTGTGCGGAAATGCATCTGAAAGTGCAGACCACCTCTTATTCTCCTGCCCATTCACCGATAGGGTGTGGTATCGTCATCCGACATTGGTTAGGCTTGAACTCGACAAATGAAAACTTTAAAGAGCACCTTGAAATGGATTAAGAAGGAGGCTCAAGAGTCCGGATGGCAAACAAAAACAAAGAAGGCCGGGCTCGCAGCAACGGTCTACTATGTTTGGAATGCACATAATAGGAAGATTTTCGAGGATGAAACCCAACTGCCCGAGCTCGTAGATCGCAAGATTCAAACCCATGTGTACCACACAATTTTTGCACTCTATCCAATGGTGCACGCGGAGTTCGAAAAGAAGGCCCTTAGAGTATGCTAGACCATTCCAAGGAGATAGCAGACCGTAAGGTCCCATGCCAGGACGAATAGCACACTCGCGAAGAACTGACTGCCACAACCATGAGAATTTTTGCTTGCCCCACCCCGCAATGGGGGTGCCACCGTACCATGCTTTTTATTTTTGCCCAAGTTGGGCGGCGTGCCGTACCACGCCATGAACTTTTGTTTTTCTGACTTATTTTAGGACTAGATTGAGCATCCGACATGTGGCTCGCCATTTAGACTTTTGACACGCGTGAGGAGCCGAGGTTGTGGATGCCCGCTTCGCTATTATATACCGTGGGACGGTCGATGTTTCATCAGTTTTGATCTATAAAATTTAATTTTACCAATTAAAAAAAAAAAGAAACAAAGCAACGTAATCCTAAGAAAACAAAAAAACATTCCTTTAATTTCTTGGCAAAATAAACAAGATCAAGCAAACTTTTGCTAGAACATTCACCCTATGTATTGTTGAGTGAAATTCATAAACAGAAAAGGCTTTTTTTTTTTTTTTGTACAGTCTAAATTTAATTTAATTGTGAATAACAGAGGAAAGCAATCAGCTGGCAAATTGTACTAATTCAATTTATCCAAAAGAGAAAGGTATCATTACCAGCCCAACTTTAGACATCTGTAAAGTAAATCAAAAATTAAAATAAATAGTGAAAAAAGAAAAGAAATTGGAAAGAAAAAAAATGTGACTATGAATGTAGCTCAAAATCCAAACAATTTCATCATTACTGTCATCTTCCTCCTTTTTCCCCTCTTTGCCCATCAAAAATTTTCTAATAAACCATCAAAGTTGGGCAAAATTATGATCTAAAAAATCTTGCTCACAGTCAATTTCACACGCACAACACACACACACACACCAGGTGAAATAATTAATTCAAACATATTTAGAAAAAAAAATCGAGAAAACCGATATGGCCATGACGTCAGAACCCTTACCGGCGGCCCAATCCGTCAGCTTCCGAGCGCCCCCGCCTTCTCCTGTGGCTCCCGGCCGGAGATCGCCATTCGCGAACAATGATGTTCTGACGGAATACCTCGAGCAATCCCTAAAAGTCCCTGACCTTATTCTCCCCGACAGAGTTTTCCCCAAGCAAAAATCAGCTCAAAATCCACCGAAAATCGACTTGCAGGACTTAATATCGCCGGAAAAAGATTCCGTCCGTGAGATTTCCGAGATGGTTGCGCAGACAGGGTGCTTGGAAGTGGTTAACCACGGGATCCCACGCGATTTGATTCGGCTTGTCCTGTTTCTCTCGGCCGGCGTTTTTGAGATTTCGCCGGAGAAGAAGAAGAAGGCAGCGAGGTTGCCGGAGATGAGGTATGGATTCGAGGAGGCTCACGGGGAGGAGGAGATCGGAGATCAGAGTGAAGAGTTTATGTGGTGTGGAGATGAAAGGATGAGGTTGGAAATGGAGGGAATTTGGCCTTTTGGATATTCTAATTTCAGGTAGTTGCAATTAAATTAATATAAATTAATTATGTTAATATTTTATGTTTTTTATTATTAATTTCTTCGTATAGTCATGTAAATGTTTAGTTTGGTTTTATTATTATTGGATTTGAAATTTACTAATTGGTTTCAAAATTTGTTTTAAAAAAAAAATATTTGCAAATTGTAATTTGTGTGGTGCTAATATCACGCGGAATGCAAATTCTTGTATGAAATTGTCTAATCATTAGACGGGTCGGGCGGTCATACGTTTTCAATAAAAATGCGTACTTATTTTATGAAATATCATACTTTTTTTCATTGGTTGTTAGAGTATAATATTTACGAATATTTGTTGAAAAAGTATAACTGACGAACTATTAGACCAATTTAACAACATTCTTACTAAAAGATATTGCCATACAATATATATTTGCTATTTAATAATAGTCACTTTTAACTTTTAACTTCATAAATCTTAAAGTTGTTAAAAACAATTCACTAATTTATATTATTTTCTTGTAGGTTATCATAGGTCAACTTTCAACCAAATGTCTATTTATCTAGAAAAATAAGAATTATATTACTAAGAACTAATGATTACATGCTGCAATTCATTTTATCTCTTCATTTTTCAAAAATGGCAATTGATACATTTTACTGCAGCCAAGAAATGGAAAAGCTATATGAACAAATTGAAGAATTAGGTACTAAAATCCTACAATTTCTCGAACGTAATAGTAAAAAAAGATTTAATGAAGAAAATTGTTCACTGAACGACGGCCAAGAACTCGCCGGAAAATTTTGCTACATACAACAACACTGCCGGAAAATTGGAGGTGAGCCGCCGGAAAACTCCCTGAGATATGATGTCATCAGGATGCTTATAAGGGGGTCTGAATTTCCCCATGCATTGTGTATGCATATTTGCAGTGGATCAACTAATTTTCATGTTTATTCCAAGAAAGGTTGGTTCTCATTTTGCCCCAATGAGGACTCAATAGTCATCACAATTGGAGACAGGTTGCAGGTAATTTTTATTATTATTATTTTATTATTTTATTATTTTTTATTTTTTTCATGTTTATTATATGGGAGAAATACAAATGAATAATTTGTGTATATTTATGCTGATAAATATAAAAGTGTAGAATCAATGTTTTAGAATTACATAATAATCTCAAATGTATGGGTCATTTTAGGAAGAGTATAAATGTGTGAGATAGATTGAAATATGCTCACTAATTTGGGTAGACGATAATTTTGCCCATTACAGAAAAATGTACACTAGTCAAAATTACGAACATTTTACACAAAATACTTGAGTTATTGGGGGTTAGACAATGTGTACTTTATTTATTTATTTAATTTGCTCGATTTTTATTAACTAGTGAGTATTTTCTAAAATCGCAATAGTTATTGAACAAATTTACCTTCTGCCCCAAACAACTGAAATTATTTTACAATTTTGCCAATATATAGTAGTCCTTTGAGCATGATTTTATATTTTCTTAGAAAGTAGAATAATAATAATGAATTGGAGTATGACATAGATAATAAAAAATTTTAAAATAAAAAATGAAAATAAGAAAGTAATGCTTGGTAGGGAAGATTTTTGGAAGAACAAAAAAGAAAGTACGAGGGCACCACCATGAAAATAAATATATAAATGAAATAAAAAGTAATTAAAAAAATAATTCACTAAAGTAAAGCACTATATATATAATATAAATGCGTGAAAATACGCAAGTGCTAATATACGAAAAATTCGTGCTAATCAATATACGAATAATTCAATAATAGCCTTATAGGCAGAATTTTAACATTTTTTTTTTTTTGGTACAAAGAATTTTAACCATTGATTTTACGCATAACAGAAATACTATGGAGTCATCCATATTTTTATGTATTGACATGTGTCCAATATATATTTATTGCATGACACTTGTCAATACACTATTTATGGATAACTATGGATGACTCCATAAATCGAGTCATCCGATGGCTCAATAACAAAATCATTACACATAACCGTATGGATTTAAGTATATATGTGTATATCAACGGTTAAAAAAGCAAAACCATTACACATAACCGTATGAGTTTATGTATTTATGTGTATATCAACAGTTAAAAAAGCCATGGACAATTTTTCATCGTATGGTAGAATCTTCCCTAATATCCAAAAGTCAATCATAGTATTATAGTACAAGCAATTATACGAATTGGCACCTCGTGGAACAAATGTAATCATGCATATGTCTTATAATTATTTTATTAACCCTAAATTTGCACCTTGACTCTCCAATTTATCATCATTGCTTAGACAATTCCAAACTAATTTTTAAATTTTTGTTTCAAATTTCCAAACCTACCACCAAGTATCTCCCTCCTATTTTTTTTAAATGTCATTCTACCTTTATCAACTATTTGCTAAATAAATGTCGTTTTGGATTTTTTGTACATATTTTTCCATTATTACCCTCATTTAATTAATAAATACATTACGTCTTTTCATATTCACTCTTCACTTTTTCTCAAAACATTCATCTCTATCTTCATTAAATAAGGTTATTATTGACAAAAAAAATATTTTTAATTAATGTGCAACTTCTTAAAACGACATCTATTAAAAATAGGAGGCAGTATAAATATATTCGTTGAATTTAGCATATTTATCACTTTTCTACACTACCTTTTACGATGGCATAAAATACTCATTAATTAATTAATTCGTAAAATTTGTGCTTAATCGTGTGAGTTTGTGGTAATTAAAGTATAAGAGATGGATTAAATAATATAAATATGTAAAGAAAATAATAATTATTAGGAGATTAATAGCTAACTATATAGTTTAAGGGATTTGATGGACAACCATAATATTAAACAATAGATGAATTATTAATTTTTATTTTTTACTATTTGCATTGAATAACATTTATTTATTGGGTAAATGGATTGAATAAACAATAAGCTATGGTAGAGATTCTTATTTATTTATTCTAATTTATAATATTTTATATAGATCTGGAGTGACGGAGAATATAAGCATGTAATTGGTCGCCCGATATTTAAAGACGAAGGTGAAAAATGCATTTCTATGGGTTTCCTATTTTGCCCTCCGAACCTCAAGAACACTGTCAAAGATGACAAGTCTGTGACAATTACTCTCAGCCAGCAGTTATTTTTTGCTGTATTCATTGCTCTTGTTTACCAATTCTCATTTTATATTTACCGTTTGTGGTAAAGAAAAAAAAATGTGAAATCACAAAGCCCATTGAGACAGTTACATTTGAGTGGGCCATGGATCAACTTGATGCTAGTTCTTTATTGGGCTATCAGATGTCAGAGCTTCAGTTTGCACTGTAGCAAGCCCAATAACGAGTGCATTGACTTTTTCTTTTATTTTTTTTTTTTTTTATCCTTTCAGAATGAAAAAAAATATATAGATATGATTTTTCATTCTTACCAACTTTTGCATGTTATTCCTTTTATATAAAGAGGGAATAACATAAATATATATATATATATATGCCTTTTCTTTTATCAGTAATGTTCACCTACCCACGGTGGACGCATGTTAATATGTCCATCGCTTATGTGGCATGCACATATTGGTGATATGTTTTTTGAATATATTAACTTCACTAATGTTTGAATGCCGCATAAGTGGTTGACATATTAACATATGCCCACCGTGTGTAGGGGAGCATTATCCTTTATTTTATATAAATTTTCCTTTGACTTGAAATAAAACATTTTTATGAAGGTTGTAACAAAGCAGAAAAGGAAATTCACAACTCAGTTTATGAAGAGACATCGGATGAAAGATTCTCTCAATGGAAAACAAACAATCTCAATTAAAAATGATTAAATAAATTTTTTGCCTATACTAATATATTAAATAAAAATGTTTAAATGATTAATAAAATTTATTATACATCATTGAATGATTTATGACATGTTTACTGAAAACCTGAAACATTTTTTCAATATAATTATAGATTCGCGAAGCCCTACGATGGTATCACATGCTCCAACTGTTGCAACTGCTCATCATCTTTTTCTTATATTTCAATACATAAATATTATACATGCTCTAGCAAAATAAATTCAATATCGCGTTGTATAAACCGTTGTTGTTTGTTATCCACAATTAATACCGCCACCTATTACCGTTAAGATGCACTTTCGCAACTAGAGAGGGCGTACGTATCAAGTAACAATGAAGTGATTGGCTAATCATTAATTTGCACTTTGTTGATGGTCAGTAGACTTTCGTTCATTCAGAGAACATTCGTGAGGAATACATAGTGATATTCGAATGTAAACAACCTAGCTCAGTTTAGGTAATTGTGACGACACAAACTCCTCTTGAAAGGCCACTACAATTTGCATTAGTCATAAAACCAACGCACATTGAGCCAGCAGGCCCAGCACGCTTAGTAAGCACTTATGCACTATGGTTCGCATGTTATTGTATAACCATAAATAAACAATGAGAAACCACATTCACAATTTAAAACAATATTGTTTTTATAGCCAATTCAGATGCATCTATGGAACTCGCATATCAAGAACCGAAAGAACAACACTGCTATAGAAATATTGAAGGTTAAGAGTGTTGCCTATGAAGTTTAAATTATTTAGGGGCAAGGGAAATTGATGTAAAATTGTGCATCTAGGAAAATTCTTGAAGACAATTACATTGTCGAGGGTTCAAGAGAGATGTTCATGCTATTTTTAGTGATGATGTTAGGCTTTCAAGATTACGATCGGATCGGTTTTGCTATGGAGCCATCGAGTGGCTCGGCTTATGGAGCCATTTATAGTTTTCCACAAATAGTATATTGACATGTGTCCTGCAATAAATATACATTGGACACGTGTCAATACATAAAGGTGTGGATGGCTCCATAAAGGAGCCATCCAATGGCTCCATAGAATTTCTGACGATCTAAATGTTGTTTGATGTTATTATATGGAAAACATTTTGAGAATTTGACGTTGCATTACTTAGGGTGTGGTGCATTTACATGTCCTTTTGAAGAATTTAATTTTATGTCTTTTGACAGATATTTTGATTTAATGTTGGATTTTATGAGGCAAATATTTTGTTTTTCAATTTTTTGAAATTTTTATACGGGAAGTCGAGTTCTCTTGCTAACACAAGAAAATAGATAATTTTTTCATTTTAACACAACTCCCCACCTACTTTAACCGGTCAACTTTCAGTCAAAAAACGATTTATTAATAATTTGTACCAAGTACCACGGATGGACCACAAATATGGTATGAGAATTGAGTAACTAGATAGATAGGGTTGGACATAAGATAGGGTTGGACATAGCCAAAACCAGTTTCAAGCCCGGTTCAGGGAACCGGGCCAAGGGTTGGCCGGCCCTGAACGAACACTAAACTTATGCACGGATCAGTTTGTTGAATTGACGGTTTTGGGCGGACCCAATTCACTAAAAAATAAAGAATAAACTATTATTAGCAAAGAAAAGGATCGAACCATCAGCCCAGCGCCTCAAAAGGTATACATATGTGTGGTCCGGAACCGGCCCAATCAACCACGGGCTCGATTGAAGGCCCGTCGGCCAGTTCGCTGGTTTGGCCCGTGTAGACGTGTCCATTTGCCGGGCCGGATCGGCGGTTCACCGTGTAGTGAACCGGGCCCGACCCGCTTGTAACTAAGGGCCGGTTCACTGAACCGGCCCTTAACCGCCGGGTCGCAAACCCGGCGGGTCGAGTCGGTTCCGGGCCGGGCCCCACATATTCTTCTTCTTTCTTGTTGGCTCAAAAACCCGGAACCCGGACCGGACCCGGCCCGGCCCGCCGGGTTTTTTTTTGACCGAAGAGGCCCAGGACCGGCCCTCTAGATATCCGGTTTCGGTTTGAAAACCGGCTTTTCCGGTCCGGGTCCGGTTCTGGCCGGGCCGGGTTCGAGCTGAGTCCGGGCCGGTTCGACCCGTGGCCATGTCTAGGCCCGTGGTCACAGATAATGTATCAAAAATCAAAAGGGGAGATTTTTTTTTTTTTTTTTTTTTCCCGATAGAAAAGGGGAGAGATACTTGGGGTACCAAAACTGACATTTTTCCGATATATTATCTTTAAATAAATTTTTCCTTTACAAAACAGGAAAAGAAAAACTGAAAAAAAAAAAAAAGAGATTCTACTCCACTGGTTTCTGCGTCTGTCAGTGTGTTCGATTTGAGAAAAAAATGGACGATAAATTCGAGGCTGTGAAAAGGGAAGACGATGATTTACCTGAATTTACATTGTCAGAGGTAAATCTTTTGGGTGTTCGTTTTTAATATCAAATGAAGAAGCTTGCTTTGATTCTTTTTATATTTTTTCTTTATTTTTTTCTGTTGTTATACTCCTCAAATCTACTAAAAAAGATTTCATTTTTACACATTTTAAGCCGTTTGCCAATCGTACTCACTATGATTTTGCGTGGATTAAGGGAAAAAAAAAACAAAAAAGAAGAGATCTTGTAATGGGGTTCATCTGGGTTTTTTCTTAAGTTTCACATCGGCCAACAAAGAGATCTTGTTTTAATTGATGAATTTACAGCTTCATTGTATGGGGTATTTTTTGTCCTTTACTATGGAGAAGAAGATTGTGAGAATGAGGAGAACAGTATTTTTTCTTTTGATTTGAAGCCAAAAACAGATTGAGATTTGGGGCAGAGCTTTTGGCCACTTTGTTTGTCTTTAATATTAGAGTTGTTTGATTTTCTGGTTATGCTTAGCTTAATGAGTATTAAAAACATGGAAGGCAGTGTTTTAATCAAGTGGGCTCTTCTTTTATAATTTGTTCACAAAACTCTCACTCAGCTAATTTGACCATTATAGTTTTTGCTAAAATGGGCTGCCTTTTTCTGAATGCAGAAGTCTTTCCCAAGAATTTCCTAAAAATAGAAAATAAAAATGCAAACAGAGAGAAAAAGAAAAAAGATTGATTATGGGAATGGCATAATTGTCACCAAATTTCATAAGTTTTTTTGGTTGTATCTGAAGTTGCTGTGAGATGCTGTCTTTTTTACCCCTTTCACCTGTAAACAGGTACTCCAAATGGAGAAATCATTCAAGAAATCGAAAGATAAGCCAGTCGGTCAGGAGTTATATGAGGAGCTTTCTGTTAAGTTCAGGTAAGCTAGAATTCTTGCACTAAGCTAGAATTCTTGCACTGGCTTTGTCCATACGAGTAGTGTAAAAATGTTT